GTACAAACCAGTTCTGCCTCATTCTGTTTTCATTTGTACCTCGTGTGTCTGTCATTATTTTTCCATTCTTAACTGAGATTAAGAATGCTGCATGACCAAGAAAACTGCCAATCAAAGTTCTTTAATCCTAGTCAGACACAAAAAACTAGCTAGGCAGACTAAGCTGTTCTTGATTATTATTATTTTAGAGATTTATTTTCTCTTTGAATGAGGAACTCATTTTGAGTCACAGTTAATCAGTGCCAGAAAATCCTATTTATAGCCCATGTGGTTCAGTGTTGTAAAACAACAATCCATGAAGGGAGGTCACTACTTTTTATAGACATGGTACAGTAAGTAGTAAAGTGCAGAGCCAAACCCAGAGGAATCATGTTCTTCACATTTGTCATCATAACACAGAAAACCCCTAAAAGCAACTTCTTCAATCTGAAATTCTCCTTCTGTCACTGTCTTTGTTATTCTGCACTTTGATTTTCTTCCTTGCCTTTATTTAGGTACAGGAGGAATTATGTTGTAGTTCATATCTTTATTTTAATTTACATGTTTTGTTTTTGTTTTACAAATGGGGGCGCATCTGTCTCAAACAGGAAACTTGAACAGGAACCAAAGTCTCTCTCCTGAAGTTTGATTCATTCATCATAGCACTATATACAGCTAAGGCTGATGGGAATGTCATTAGTTTTGCAGGTATTTGGTTGTAAACTGTTGACTTAATGGTGGCACTCGTTGATTGGTTGAGCACTGTGGATATCTGTACAAAATTTTGTGCCAATTCACTGGATAACTTTGACCTGCTGGTGGCGCCACAAGAGAAGTCAGGGGATCACCAATATCATTAGGATTCAACCTCGTGGCACCATGAATGTCAAAATAGAGAGCCCCTCTCCCTTCCGGTGGACCACCATAGGACCTTACTTTATAAAAAATATGTACAGTAGTCAAGAGACAACAAATTTTTTGATCCCGTTTGAATTGTGCTCTGAATTACACATATGATGATGGTCAATTTAAAATATACATTTAAAAGTCAAGAAAGTCACAGTTTGATGTAAAACTGTTGAAGTATAAGTCTGTAAAAATACATAATTACAAAGCTCACAAACCCAAAAGTCGCATATGTGAGGTCGTAACGTTTTCTCTCAATGACTGAAGCTAATGTTAACTGAAGCTAACGTCAAAGAACTTACATAAGAGGATCTCGCCATTGGCTACCGTATATACTTTTTCGGAAATAAGGTCCCATTGGCCTGAAGCGGAAGTGAGTGACTTATTAGGCTCTCTATTTCAAGGCAATCCACCCAATACTTAGTCTGGACTAAAGTAGTGAACAAATCGACAGACCAGCATTGGAGCCATGTCGCTAGCAGTCATTTCGAACTTGACAAGAATAAAATTCTCCACAGAAACACTGAATCCTCTTTTTTTTTTTTTTTTTTACATGAAAATGGTCAAAATCACTGAATTTCAGCTATCAGTGAAAGATGGCATTTTGCCCTCAAGCCAGGGTGATTGATGGTCACACAGGTTTACTTGCACAGCAACAAAGATTTGTGCTCAGCAGACTGAACGCAAGTGTGTGAATAAAGGAGCTGGTAGTTTTCCATTTGCCTGTCTAACGGGGCCAGATTTAGCCCGTCTGGCCTGAAGCTGCAGTAAAAGGATGGTATGGGGGCATATTGTTACAGTCAACACACAAGTAGGCTTAAGTGTGTCCACATTTGTGGTATTTAACCGTCTTCCCTTCTTATATGTGTGCACCGTGGCTTAGGACAAACGCTTACCTTTTGCCTGGTGCAGCCCTCCCCACCGCAGTCTACACTGACAACAACGACAGCCTCATTTACACCTGCTCTCAGTGTGGATGAGAAATCAGAAACGTAATGTGGCCTAGTGGTTAAGACGCATACAATAAACGATTCCAGCTGGAGACCTTTGTTGTCTGTCATCTCCTCTCTCTCTCCTTCACTATATCCTGTCTGTATCTCTACTGTGACTTGTTAAATAAAGGCAAAATGCCCCAAAGAAATCCCTGCAGCCGAGCAGGACTGGCTTCCCTGGTGGAGACATGCCTGGCGACACGTTTTTGTGTGTTTTGAGTGAACCTGCCCTTTAAATATTGTGTTGTTTTTGGCCAAAGACAAGCCTTTCAGCTAAAACTTACCGTTGCACTTTACAGCTGCAGACAGCAACAAGAGCAGCACCATCTCTCCTCATCCTGACAGTGTCATGCTTTGTACCCTGAAACACAAAATGACGTCACCACCATGTGGCATGTTTTGTTTTGACCTAAAACAAGAGGATATGAAGGGAAACAACAAGCACAACCAAAAAGTGTTTGTACATATTTTAACGACACATACAAGACATCTACAGGCATCACATGCTGATGAAATATATTAATATGGGAGAATTAACATGGAAATGATCATTTCACTGACAGTAACACATACACCTTTCCATCAGATAAGTGATAGAATCACTCAAAAAGTATGTGAGGGTTAAAAGTTAACAAAAAAAGATCAAAGGTGAGGAACAGTATTGGTGTTGCAGGTATCAGAAAGGAACTGCATGAACCAGAATTAGCCAGATAAATTGATTATGCTGTACAGTATCAATAATACAGGTGATATTGTGGTGAAAGTTTAAACCAAACCGTACATTTTCAGCTTGGTCATAAATGATTGATTGCTTGGGATAAATACATCATCACATGTTGTTGTTTTTTTAACTCATCTGACTCACTAGTGTTGCTCTGTGAAATAACCCTGACAATTCAAATGCACTTCTGTATTGCTGCGAGCTCATCTTAATTTCATATCCAGAGTCAAGACTAAACTGAACCCAAACAAACACAACTGCAAGGACAATAAAACATTAGAAAGTGAAAAAAAAAACACAAATGGTCAGTGCATCTCTGGTGTTCACACAGCAGTTTAGGACACGTGTAGACTAAATGAACTACATTTACCTAGCATTAACATGTAAATATGGTTCAGTGGTTCAGTGGTTAACACTGTTGCCTCCCAACAAGAAGGCTGTGGGTTCAAATCCTCGTTGCACCAACTGGGTTAATTGGTGTCTCCATAATTGTCCTTAGGTTTGAACGTGAGTAGCTGTTTGTCTATGTGTGGCCCTGAAGCTGAGATTTTACATAACCATAGATGACCTGCTCACACCTGGAAAATGGGGGGAAATGTAGTCCTGAAGAAGGGGAGGGGTTTGACTGCCTTCCTCACAGGAGAGCCAGTGAGTGCAGAAGGTGCGTCTTGTTTAACCCCGCCAAGATCGATAGAAACCTCGATAATGCTAGTTAGTTAATGCAGTGATATATTCTGATATGTTTTATTTGCATATTATAAACGGAATGTCACTCCTCTCATACTAAAGCCTCTTCTGCAAGACGAAACACGAGGAGATAACGGTTATTGACATCTAGTTAGCATTAATAAGCTAACAGTCAAACCCGTGGTTTATGGCGTATCTAAATTAACCCAGCAGCTAGTTACTGAAAATGCACATAACAACAACTACCTTACTAAACTGGATTATGGTTTAACTATTCAACTTTGCAAAGTCCCTCCGGCTACGTCCGCAAACTGTTATTCCAGCCATACCTAGCTAGCTAATATTTAGCAACGGTTAGCCCTGCTAGATTAGCTATTATTTTTTATTATGCTGCATTCCAGACAACTCGGAACTCTAAAGTACAATAGAGCGCCACTCAAAACCACCGTACGTTGTAAATGGTAAACCATCAACTAAAAGGCAAAGTGAAGTATATTTACCTGTATTTAATTAAAAAATGCATGCTGTCTTATAGTAAAACCTGTTCTGAATGTTACAGTTTTTCTCAATTGCTTGAACACATTTCCTGAAATTATGCCTCTTTTTCTTGAAACACTAAACACAACTTCTCACCTAATTCCCCAAACATCCTATTTTCAGGTCATAATGAAGCTTTCCACTCAAAACCATTCAATCTTAATGAAAAACCAAACTTTGCTTTCAGACATAACACACAGGCACTCAAAAATACACACACACACACACACAAACACAAACACAAATATACAACACAGTTTTACACACTGGTGGGACAAATTCAAAACAATACTACTAAAACTGGTTATTAATATGTTGCTTGTGGTTCTCCCCCTCAAAAACCTTTTCACATGATGAACACAACAAAAGAAATAACACATGTAAACATTTGCTCATTTTTTATTCCTTAGTGTGCTGTACAGTATGTCACACCAAACAACAAATTATTCTGCCCCAGCATCCTGTCTTTGGTCTGGGACAGGCCAGAGATTCTTGTTCTCCACCTCCTCCTTCGCCCTACTCCTCCTCTGCCTCCTCCTACTCCTCATCTCATCATTTACTCCTATCCCATCTCCTCCTCCATCTCCTACCATTCCTCTTCCTTCACCTCTTCCTCTGCTCCATACTGCTCTTCCTCCTCCTCTTCCTCCTCCTCTTCCTGCTCTTCCTCCTCCTCCTCCTCCTCTATGGTGTTCTCTACCTCTTCTGTAATTGATGTTGAATTATGTCGCCAATGGTTTGGTAGCTGGTTACGGTAAACAATCTCTGAAATCAGCTTTTGAAATGGCTTTTTAATTAACATCAAGGGTAGGCTACTGTACACTTGGCAAAGAAACACCAGTTTTTCACGGTTTTTGTTTGTTTTTTCTCCTTACAGTCTGGCGTCGTGAACCCGGAATGCTTGGAGGTCGGAATGTTGGAAATTTCAACTTAGAAATTCCGACCTCCAATTTTGACGGGAAGGCACCATTAGCCAGAGACAACTGACAACAGGTAGCCTACTTAATGGAAAGTGAAAATTTATACCTACCATCATTCATGTCACTCATCTGACATGTGTATAAATACTGAAAGGAGGTATAAAAAGGTGTTGGCAAAATTTTACGACTTACATTTTAGCCAACCTGCAAAAGAACGTAGAGCGCCTTATCTTGACGTACACACAATCTTTGGCAAAAGCGGCCCACAGCTGCGTGCGCGGAAATCCGTGACAATGTAGTCAGTAGAGGTGTTTTTTTCAACTTCTTCCAGGAAGTGGACTTTTTGTCTTATAGTGAATTGTTGTCAAGTGTAGCACCAGAGTTTCCAGTCGGAGAGAAACGCGTTTATGGTAAACCTTTCTTGCTGGCTGCCATGTCTGAATCTTTGGAGCGGTCCACAAATATCAGCCTGTTTAGAGAGCCGGTTGTGAAGAAGCTCTGTGAGGTGTTGGACAAGTCCAGCAATAAAGGATGGCGAAAACTTGGAGACATAGTCAGCAGTGACAGACGGTTTAAAGTCAGGTAAGCTGAAACGCAAACGGGATGTAAACTATATAAAATCACTGTAATGTTTTAAAACAATCCTAAAATCGGAATATGACACCCAAAACTATAGGTAACGTCCGTCTATTTAATGTATTTTAGAATTACAGTCCCAAGTAGTTTAGTTGTGTGCGTCAAGAAGACAGTGTTATGCACTGTATGGCAAGAACATTACGCTAATGCCTGTTTCACATGTATATACTCATGTGAAGGAGTATTTTATAATACAGGACGATGAGATAACATAATAGATATGAAGGACATTGTAATGTTGAAGAATGTAAACCTACTGTAAACAAATGCTTATCTAGAGCAGTGACTGTACTTGAACCCCAATGGGTAGCCCAGTTACCAGACTGGACAAGACTATCCTCCGTTTTCCACCAACTTGAGTCAGTTGCAAGTTGACTATTTTTGATAAGAAAAGCAACAAAAAGCTAAAAATAAAGATAGCCTACAGTACAGTACAGTACAGTTTGTGTCGCTCCAAATGGTAGTAGTAAAAATTAGTAGTAAACTTGGCCAAAGCTACTAAAAAATGCCCTTGAACAATACCATAAAGCCATCCAATCTATAAAAAGGGGTATGATAATGGGGTACATCTGACAAAAATGTTTGGGAACCTCTGATCTAGAGGGTCTAAAAACACAGCTGAATTAGTTATTTAATAGATACAATGAATGTAATAAATACATTTTCCACTACACCTGAGTCTTCACTCCCTGGTTCCCTGGCTCTTCACTTTGTGTTCTTTATTGAGAGCTGCTGACGACCTGAGTGAAATTCCTCATATTTGTCAACACAATCGATTGATTCTGATGTCTGAAATATGATGTGCTGTCAATTTCTTGCACCGTTCTGCAGCTCAAACGACATGGAGATGTGCTCTCTGAAGGTGCTGGAGCTGGAGGGCAGCCCGAGCCGCATGCTGCTGAGGCTGATGGGAGAGCGAGGCTGCACCACGGGTCACCTGATTGACTACCTCCACACTCTGGGCAACTCAGAGGCCCTGCAGTGCCTGAAACCATCAGGTACACTCAAACCGCCTCTGAGCCTGTATACTATGTTGTTAAGTATCCAGACAAGGTTGAGCTTTGTTTTGTGTGTTGTATTTATGGCGTAAAGGGGATTAATGACTTTATGGTGTTTGGATGATACTTCCAGTACAGTACATTGCCAGGCCAGATTTCAGCCAGTGACACTACAAGCTTGTCTTTGCAAGCAGGGTTCAGTTAGTTTTTGAAATTGGAAACATGTCAGCTTTACACAGAAACTGTCTCATCTTTGCTACACTTATGTAACCCATCTAAAATCTGTTCATTAATTAAATATGTGTGCCAACGTTTGAATTCAAAGTGAAAGTTCCCTTATATGTACAGCCTTGCAGATCCTCATTCAGCCTCAGTCGGTGGCTCTTGTAGCTGGCCACAATCTGCGCCTCAGCTGCCACGCGGTGGGCAAGTCTCCAGTACAGTACCAGTGGTTCAAGACCAAGGAAGAGGTGCGATCACACACATGCTACCTTCCCTTTCCTTTGTGATAAACCTCTTGGTTGTGTTTATGCTTATGTTTTGCATTGTTTCCTCTGTTCTTCATACTTTTGTCCTTTTGTTTCTATGTCAGTCCATAAGGTTGATGTGAAACTGATACACCCTGTGCAAACATTTCAGACATTCAGTTTGTCCACGTCAGAGGCCTCAGAAAGGAACTTAAATACAAAAAGCAATATAGTCTTTCAGCTTTCCATGATGTTTACACTGCATTTACAAGCTGTGTAAAATTAATATTAAATGTACTCTTCAGTAGTTGGTTAGCAGATTTTAATTTTGCAAAACATGTCATATATCTTCCCGTCCTACGATAGAGGAGCCGGGTGTCCAAAAAGACTCTTAACTTACATAAAAACGCAGAATTCTCACATTACAACCTTTTAAATGTGCTACGTTTTATGTAAATGTTGGTCCCCTGAAAATGAACTGGACACTGTTCCCCTTTCCACTTACATATTAAACCAGTTTCCTTTAGAGCTGGCCATCCACAATTTTAAAAGGGAAAGTTACATACCATGAAACTTACACTAATAGCTGCCTACCCCGTTTACTGGCCTGGTGTGGGAACACATTTTGACAAATAATCGTAGGTCTCCAGTAAATGCCTAGTCTGGTTTTTATAGAAGTCCTTTGGTTGTATAAAACCTCTTAAACCCTCTTTAGCAGCTTCTAGCAGCTTCTAAGCTGCTAAAGAGGGTGACTTTGTATCCACTAAGCTGCTTAGTGCATACAAATTTTAATGTTTAAACATATGATCAGTATGGACATGCTACACATCGTTGGATCAGTTAGATTCCCCACAATTCAATCATTCAGTTCATCGAACAGAAACAGCAAGCCTGTCCCAAATATAGGCAGGGTGAATTCAGTGATTTTAGCCAATAAAAGCCCTATTAATCAAAGTTTTACGGTGTGTAGTAATTACAGTATGTGAACCCTTTAGATATACCTGGATTTCTGCATAAATTGGTCATAAATTGTGACCTGATCTTCATTTCAGCCACAATAACAGTCAAACACAGTCTGCTTAAACTAATACCACACAAACAATTTTATGTTTTCATGTTTTTATTGAACACACCGTGTAAACATGAAACAGGGTATGAAGTGGGGCTACGGAGATGAGATTTCAGTCTGCTAATGGGGACTGCTGTTTCTCTTGGGCTGGAAGGATATTACACCTTGTGTATTGTTAAATGGATTCACATTTTCACCCCCTAAGGTGCCAAACAACTCATCTCCAGACCTGGTTATAAGTCCAGTCCATCTGAAGGATGCCGGCTTTTACATCTGCAGGGTCAACTGTGGAGATACTTTTGAATTCAGCCAGTGGGCTCAGGTGGACGTCCTGAATGTTGCTGTGTCTTGCGGTAAGATGCTGCAGTCCCACTTGCGGTTTTGTTGTGTTGTGTGCTGGACAGGAAACATTTCTGAAAAGTGACTTCTGTTGGAATTGAATCCCTAACTCGAGCACTTTCCCCAAAAATAGTCAGAATGTTTTATCTGGATGTAGTTGTCTAGTGACGGGTGAGAGCAACCCCCCCTCCCCTGATTCCAACACGGGTCTACAGTTTATTAAACATGCAACTTTTAAATGTACTTAACGTACTGGTTTTATGGTAACGTGTCTTTAAGTGTCCTGAAAAGCGCTATAGAAATAAAATGTATTATTATTTTATTTACTTTTTATTATTATTATTAACTGACCCCAACGCCAAAGAGCCAGGCTCGTTGGTATGGCAGTCCAAGTGCATTTTAAACAGAAGGGACGGTACTCTGTCACAAGTTGATAATGTACTAATGATGTCTCCCCCCCCAATCACCAGGGCAGAGTTATCATTCATTAGAAGGTCGGCTGAAGTTGGTGATCCAACCTCAGTCCCAGCGGCTACATGTTGGGGAAAACCTGCTGCTGGAGTGTGGAGCCATGGGACGGCCGATCCCCAGATACCAATGGCACAGAAATGGAGTCCCAATCCCCAACGCCTCAAAGAGGAAACTTTTGGTGAGGAGTGGTTGTTGGAGAGGATTTATAATCCTGGCGCTGTAATAACAATTTGACTTTTTACTTCTTGTTTGGAAACAATTTTCTCGAACACGCGGACTGGTGTTTTGTTGGTTTGGTTTGAGTTTACCGTTTGAAGTTCACTAAATTGTTACCACTGTTCACTAATTTTCCATCCTATGTTTTTTACGGGCTAAGGCTTAATAAAAAATGTCTGCGCATTTCAGATTCCTCATGTGATGCAGGATCAGCACGGCAGGTACCGCTGTGAGATCAGCAGCAGCACTGAGAGAATGTGGACCAATGAAGTTGACATTGTGATAGGTATGTCACACTTGAGTGTATTTTTTGACACTGCATTTACAGTCCAGTAAAACCAGCTCTGTTGTCATAATGTCTGAGTGATGATTTGCTCTGTTCTCGGCTGAAAGCACCAAGGATATCTGTCCAGATATCAGAGGCAATGGAGTGCTCTGAAGGTAGAGTTGAAGGGACTGGTGCATGGTGTATCTAATGGGAATTGAGTGACAATTAGTAGGCGTTTGCTGCATCCAAATGTTAAACATAACTCTAAATTGAATAATCCACATCAATGGACTAATGTCATTACTTTCAACTAATTGTGGCTGGATGGCTATATTCTGTATTTGTCTTATTGTCAACAAATCCCATGAATCAATGTGGGCCAATGTGTAAACCATCCTTCGTCCCCAACAAATGCTCAAATTGCTCTTGTTTTCTTAAAACTACAGTGACCAGCCAGGCCTTTCTCAAAAATGAAACCATATATTAGTGACCTGAATATTAATGTCATCAGTAGACACCAGAGCACGTGAGGCTGCCAGAGACAGGATAGGGAAGTGAGAAAGAATTGAGAGGTGGACTAATGCTTTTCATGGGATTTGTTGTTGACAATAAGAAAACCGTAGAGTAACTCTAACCTTACTCTCAAATTTAATTGTGATTAGTTGATTTGATTGCATGAAAAGTAGATTTCTCTTCTTCTGTAAGGCTTACCTTCCTTTGACTAATCATCTTTACCTGAATCAAAAGAACATTTTTCTAACACCGACGTAAAAATGCTCAGCTTATCTGTTAGTAAAGTATTTGTATTTTTGATTCCTAGATGACGTTTACGCCATTGGAGGAGGTAAGAGTAATCATACTCATCACGTATCTATACACGCCTATTGAACACGTTTTCCTACACTTGCTGTGATCCTCTGTTGTGTGTTTTAGGTTCCAGTGAATTTTTTCTAAACAGTATTCCAGAACAACTTTATGGTAAGTTTATTTTGACACATTTCTTAATGAAAACTGTAGTGAATTATTAAAATATGTTTTTATAACTTTACTTACTGTAGTGATTAATATGCCTGAGGCACAGTTTCTCTATATGTCCCCTCTGTAACCGTGTGTCGGATTAGGATCTTTGTCCTGATCTACCGTCAGTTCCCTTTTCAACATGAACACCAAAATTAAGATGTGAAACTTGTAACAGATGATGTCCGTAGCCGCACCGAGACGGAATAATACCACACAGTTTAATCAGCTTCTCTAATCAATGACACAGAGTGTCAGTATATGTTGCAGGGCTGGTGTATTACATGGAAGCAAATGTCATTGTGTTTTGTGTTCACCACAATATAACCCACTTCCTTCCTCTCTGCATTTCATTGTTATTTAAATTTTTATTGCCACTGCCTGAATAACTGGCGTATCCGTTAAAAACGTTGTGAATTTATGTAAAGTTCAGTTCTTTACAGATCTTTATTGACATTAAGGTGGAATTTTTTTTGTTGTTTTGTCCTGTTCAACAGATAAAGTACAGCTTAAAGAGTAAGATCAAGAGTAAAAGCCAACCAAAAAAACACAGCAAAAGACAACAAAACCACATTAAATTGAGATAGATCAATGTGGCGGGCAAGTTAAACAAACGACACGAACGTAAATCCTCACCAACACTGACTGGTTAGAAATGAGTGTAGTTGAGTTTCACTACCTGCTGCAACAAAAACAAACTCAGTACAGTCAGTTAATAAGTATCCTCATCAAAAATATGTTCTTAATGTGTTAATGTAAAAATGTTATTTGTTAATATATATTTATTGAATTCTCTAACTTAAAAGTAGTGGCCTCAAATATCCCGTATTTGTATGGCTGTAGTTTCTGTTAACTTGTTCACCTCCTGTACTTGTAGTTCAGCCAGCGAACAGGCTTTAGCAGGGAAAATCCAGAAAATCTGAGCTAACTAGTTGTTGTTGTTGTTTTAACAATACTTGTATTTTCTATTTTATATATGTATTCTATGTTGGAGAAAACTTCAAAATATACAGTGCACTCATTTGGACCATTGTATAAAAGCCCAAATATTAAGAAAGCACATTCATCACTTGATTTTGTAAACTTTCCAGAAAACAGGACTTGACCACTATCGCAATACACCATGGAAACAATAAATGTCATTGATGCAAATTGTCCTGTACGAGTTGTCCTCCCTCCCGTAGTTTAACAGTATAGTTTTCTCCTTCTCCCATGTCCCCTCCCAGCAACTGACAAAGTGGCCCTGCTGATCGGCAACCTGTCTTACCAGAACCACCCGCAGCTCAAAGCTCCCATGGTGGACGTGTACGACCTCACCAACCTCCTGCGGCAGCTAAACTTCCAGGTGGTTTCACTGCTGGACCTCACAGAGTCAGAGATGAGAAACGCTGTTGATGAGTTCCTGTTGCTGCTTCACAAGGGAGTGTATGGTTCGTTGGGATTTTACAAACCCGTGGGTGGCTATGGATGTGGTAGTAGATCCGGAAATACTCACATTACATGACTTATGTTTCAAGAAGAACTGAAGTACACACTTCCCTCTGTAGGTCTGCTGTACTACGCTGGTCATGGGTACGAGAACTACGGCAATAGTTTCATGGTGCCGGTTGACGCCCCAAACCCGTACCGCTCAGCCAACTGTTTGTGTGTGCAGAGCATCCTCAAGCTGATGCAGGAGAAGGAGACGGGCCTCAATGTTTTCCTGCTGGACATGTGCAGGAAGCGGTGAGTCCTGGACGCTGTGGGTCATTCCTTTCAGTCTAATCACATGTAACTGAGATTGACCGAACGTTCCCCCCGTTGGTCTTATGTTATACACATTTGTTTTTGTGTGTGATTCCATGGCAGGACCCTTAAGGATTTATTTTCCCTTCATCATTGAGCTGTTTGTGATTTATCGCCTGGGTTTGCATGTTAAAAGGTTTATAGATTTATTAATTTTCCAGGAACATTCATGATGAGAGCACTCCAAACATTGTCTTGAGGGTTACGGCCAACATTGTCTTTGGATACGCTACGTAAGTTTAAAACATCTGTTATCATTCAAAACTACATTTCCACACTCTCTGTTTTACAAGAATATAAAATGTTACGTTCTTTGTTTGGCTGTTCAGGTGCCAAGACGCCGAGGCCTTCGAGCTGAGCTCCAGTGGCTTCACCAACGGTGTGTTTGTCAAGTTTTTGAAGAAACGACTGCTAGACGATGAGAAGATCACCGTGGTGCTCGACAGAGTCGCAGAGGGTGAGAGACGAACATAAACATGATATATGAAAACATCACATATACTGTAGCCCTGCAAGAAGTACTGAGATAAATGGTGAAAAATATAGTTATCAGAAATATAATATATGCAAAGGAAAGATTATTTACTGTAGTCTTGACATTCTGTAATCACCTTGTCCATCAATAAGACCAGTTTGCAGTATTTGTTTATAAAATATGACTGTTTATGGTTTCTGTAATTCCCACAGGATGTGTATTTTTTTTTTCCAATAGAAAAGTATTAAAGTTAATTTTAAATTAGCTTGCTTTGTATTATTAATGTCAATTGTATCAGCTTTCTTGTGGGACAATGGAGTTTCCCTTTCAATGGATGGTTAATGATCCTTTATGATTTGAGGTTTCTGTAAAATGCCCTTACCATTAAACAACGTTTAGAAGACACACAAGAAATGTCTTGAACATTAGCTCCTAGTGGGCAAATTAATTGTACTTAAAATAAAAGTGCTTCCTGCAGTGTTGTAAACGCTTTTGGTTGGACCCAGTTTCAACTCATGTAATGGGAGTTTGGGACATTTTGTGAGGCGTTACAGTCGAGACAGGCTGACATGTGATGGATGAATGTTTTTGGTGTTCAGACATGGGTCAGTTTGATGCTACGAAGGGGAAGCAGGCTCTGGAGATCCGCAGTAGTCTGTCAGAGAGGAGAGCGCTGACTGATCCTATTCTGCCCGGCGACAGCGCTGATCTCGCTCACGCTCACAGCCGCCAATGGGCCAAGGCTCACGGTGAGTTTAAAACGCGATTTCTGGACTTCATTTTAAAAACATTTGTTTATCTACTTGCTATCGCTGCACTAGGAAGCCCCCGTTTGCTTATGGCGGCTCAGTGCTGGACGCTCAGTCAAATGTTGACTCTGGTTAATGGTGCTGAAGCACACAGTACTCACTCACAACAAGCACAGAACAGCGAGAATCACCTGATCACCTTATCACCTCTTCCTCTTACGTCCGCTAATAAATATTTGCTTATGGAAAGCAGAAGCCACTAGGTCTTGCAGCGAGGAAACTTGTGACCCCATAAAGGTAAAGATTTTTAGAAGCCAGTATTTCATTAGAAGATTTTGATAATAGTCAGAAAAAACATGTATTTGTGTATCAGAAATATATATTGTCCTTTCTTATCTTGTGAAACCGCAGATTTATCTTGGGATCCCTTTGGGGATCCCGACCTCAGGTTGCGAGTCTCTGCTGTATAAGACTTTTCCGCACTTTTTGTGGTGATTTTCTATAATAACAATGACGTTTATTAGTCATTTCAAACTAATCATTTAAGACAGACTTTTTTGTTGTTATGTAATTTGTTGACTGTTCGTACAAAGAAGAGAAGGTGTGAATTTTTTTGTCACGCAAAAAATATTCTATTCAGTCAAAAGCGTCTGGATAACTGGCAAAATGCTGAAATTAAACGCACAAAGTGGATGTGTCTTATGATAAATCAATAAATATTCACAAACTATTACAAAAAATTTATTAGTGAACAGATTGGGCTAATGGGCATTTTTAAAAAAATGTTTAAATATGACATAACATGAGGACTTGGGAGTGGAGCGTGAAAACCAGGTGCAGCTTTTGAAGTCAGTCCAGTATATAGCACTTGAAATGTCTGGTTATTTTTATTCCAGAGCTTCCTGAAAGTATGTGTCTCAACTTTGACTGCGGGGCTCAGATCAAGTTGGGCTTTGCTGCGGAGTTTTCCAATGTGCTCGTGATTTACACTCACATCGTGAAGAAGCCCGAGGACATGTCCCTCTGCCAGGCCCACGTCACAGACTTCTCACAGGTCAGTATGTTGTCATGAACTCTGGTTATTTTTTTTTTTTTCTATCTTACCGGTCTAACAGGACCTCTGTAGGGAAATTAGATAATTAAATCAGAATTTAATTAGAATTCACTTTTTCACTTCAGACTTATTGCAATTCCACCCAAGATGAATTTGAGGGTGGGTGAGTACGTATGTGCATACTGTACACTGCCACCTGCTTCTTTTCCTTACTGCAGGACCTCGACGTGGATCCTAAAGAGATGAACAGAGAGACTCCGGAGGAGACAGGGATCTACTTTCTGTCCAGCAGCCTGCCGCAGCACTGTCTTTACACCAGAGTCAGCTCGCTGCAGAAGCTCAGGGTAAAGACTCAACATGACTTTGTCACAAGACATCGTAGTATATAATACTGTGTGAAAACCCAGCCTCCTTAAACCAAAACAACTGTGTTTATACTCTTCTTCCCAAAAAGTTCTGAAAGTTTTTGTTATGTGCCTTAAGGTTTTTTTTATTATCCTATTAAGGAAGCATGTCGTCTCGTGATTACATAACAAAGCTAAGAGACTGCACAGAATGCTAATGGTGACGTTTAGCAGGTATACTGTTAACCATGTTTACCTTAGCTTAGCATGTTAGCATGCACTATTTAGCATCAAACACAAAGTGTAGCTGATGCTGATGGGCGCTGCTGTTGGTGTATAAAGGAAATGTTTGACCTGCTGGTGGCACTGGACAAAAGATCAGAAGGATTCGCGCTCTGACATAATGACTGTCCATGCAAAATATTTCTTCAATATTTTGTTCAGATGTTTTAGTCATGCTAGAGCATGTTTTTTGCTCTAGCATGACTTTTTATTTATGACAAGGGATCCTGTTATGTTGCTTAATACTTCTATTTCTTGCATGCAACAGGAGGAACTGGTCTTCACCGTGTGCCTCCAGGGCACCTTCACAGCCATGGACGACGATCCTGTCCACTGGACCAAAAGCATCAATATTGGCAAGCCGCTGATCGCCCGACTGGACCTGCACCGGGCCATGCGGCGAAATAGCTGCCTGAAGACGTGTCTGATGCCTCACAGCCCATCCCACAGCCCCTGTCACAGCCCCTGTCACAGCCCTGGCCCTGAACACCGCCTCCACCTCCATCACGGGGCGCACCAGGCCCAGGACTACAGCCGACTGTCACCACAACATCACTACCTGGACGTCTACGAGCATCTTCAGGGTGCAGTGGGAGGCTGTGGGGATTCGTACTACGAAAACCTCAGCCAGTCTCGCTATGAACCTGCGTACGACTCAGCCGGTGGGCTTTCAAGCTCACCGGGCAGGCTCAGCATCCCTATAGAGGCCAGTGACGACATCACCGAGCTTCAGACTGTGTTCATCAACAGTCTGCAGCTTCAGCAGCAGTGAAACGGCTGGTGGATGTCATCGATATTTGTCATTTGTCTCATGGTGTATCGGGATTACTGCTGCTCTTTCTGTTACATGTTGTGACCACATATGTTTTATTTTTATAATATTCTTCAAGTTATAAGCATTATTTTCCTCAACAAGCTGTACACTGACGTTTTGTTCTTGAGTTTTGGTAATACATTTTTACAACAATGAAAAAGTGTAAACTGTCATATTTGTACCACAAGGCCGTTTTGATTCTCTTACTTTTGCCAAACACAAAAGCAAAGATACTGGATGGTAATTGTCAAGATCAGACATGTCACAGTCCTTGTGTAAACTTGCTGGGATTTTACCTCTCACAAAGGTTGGTTTAACAGTACAAGCCAAATGTGCACAAACTAAAGGGGCATTACGATAAAGAAGATAGAGGATTAAGCAATCTGCATATAAGGCCTTGCCTGCCCTCGTTGCAAGTACATAATTGGAAACCTTTGCATAATCCCTCCATATGTAACTAGTATAGAAGAAGAAAACAAAGAAGAGCTCCCTCTGCTGTTAATAAACATCTAAGGCAGCCAGCAGAAATTTTATTTCCACAAAGCTATTACTCTTTGTTTTTTCTGTCTTCTAGCTGTCCCCCACAGGATGGCAGTAAATTTGGACTTAATTTTCCTCCAGCAGCTGCTTCTGCTTCTCCCCTCCCGACTCTCTGGCCTGCATTTTCCAATGTCATCAGCTTCTCTTATATCATTGTTGTTTATTAGTCTCCCTCCGCACCTCAGTGAAACTTTCCACTTTTCTGCTGGGATTTAAGGCACTCTTTGCTTTATTTTCCTTTTGGATTGACCTGATCGTAAGAATGCACAGACTGAGGGCTGCCGCAGTCCCGCTGTATTATTTCTACATGTGACAATGTGGCACGTGCAGAATTAATCTCCTTACACAAGAAGCCATCAGTCCTGTGCTGGGATGGACGCACACTGTGACAGTATGAGCTGAAAATTAGGTCAACAGTTCAACCCCTTCTTTGCTTTTACAATATGTCTTCATCAGGGTAAGACTTGTTTGTAAGAGGAACAACTTATTAAGAAACAGTTGAGAAAGGGGATGAAAAGGAACTTTACACACAACTGTGAAAACATAATGGAATTTAGTAACAAATTAATGTGGAAAGGACGGAGAATGGTACCAAACCAATGTGGACACAGTCTGGTGAAGAAATTGATTACAAATATCCCTAATCCAAGGAGTGTGTGCGATGTAGCGAGAGCTGTGTGTGCCCGTGTGCATCCATGATGCCATACATGACTGCGTTTATCTCTGTTATTATAGATATTGCTCACAGGGGTTTTGTTTCTGGGGGTGGATAGAGCGGCTACTCAAGCAGAACCACTCTTAACTGAGTTACTCAAGTAGATGTAGAAGTTAAAGATTGAAAAGTGGCTCTTTGGAAATCTACTCTGTAATTTATGAGTACATTATCTGATAATCTATAACAGAATTCCTTGTTTTAGAATATGCTCAAAAAATTACGATTGTATGAAAAATCGATAGTTTCCTCTCCAGGATGTTTTCATGAGGGCAAGCAGGTCATGTGACCTTCAACATAACAGTGGCACCTTGCAGAAGTCTCCGCAGCAGCAACATAATAGCACTCAGATCAGGACAGATGATAATATATGTATCACACACTGAGCGACATTTAGCTTCAAAGAACAGGAGTGTTTATTTCAGCATGTTCTGTTCCCTGCAGCACAGCACCGAGCTAAGAACCCAGTCTGACTGAATAATGGATGGAGTCAGCCACCCACAGACTGCAGGGTGATATCATGGCTGCGTCACTTGTGCAGCTGAAGGAGGAGGGGTGGGCTGGTTTATACGATGCAGCAGGCAGAGACAGGAGAGAGAACGAGTGAGGAACCTGCCCACGGAGAGGACAGAGAGGAAAATAATCATGTCAGCCACCTGGAAGCAGCTCTTCTTTCAGATCCAGCTGCTTCTCGTCTTCTGCAGACACATCAATACAAGTAAATGGCTCTTTGAGTTTAATTTTGAATGTGTGTGGTTGTGTTAAAACCTTGCTCTGTCTTCTCTTTTCCTCACTAAATGACCTGCAACCTTGTGTGAGGTGTAGAATGTCATAGGATTTCCACATTATTTTCCTTTTTAATGCCCCCAAAAAGTATTCTTGTCAGGGTGAAAAAGACTAAGCAATTGCATCATCACGGGACACCGAAACTCTACATAAAAAAAACCCCCAAGAGCAGTTACTTATGTAAGCATTGCCAGTGCCAGTGTGTAGAAGAAAAAGAGAGAAAGAAATCTGATTTAAAAGGCTTTTTTATATAGTAACTGTTATGAGGGATATCAAAATGATCATCATTCAGGCAAACTGATCATTCAGTTTAATGCATTATGTTTTATGCTTGCTATCCATTTACAGTCACCTCTGGATGTACCCAGTTATCTTTGATGTAATATCTCGAGTAGTTTTTGTCTTTAGGGAATTAAAAAAACATGATTTCAGTGTTAATAGGTTAATCTCCAGAGGCTTAAGGAAACAAATAGCTGTATTTATTTCACTGCAAATTTGAATACATTTCTACGTTTGATCCTGCACTTGAGATATTTTTGTGTGTATTTATTTTAGTTGTTTGTTTTAGCTTGTCTGTGTTTCATCTTCATTGCTGTGCTCAACAATGACCTTGAGCTACATCTGTTTGTATAAAAGGAGCAGTGTGAAGATCAATCAATCAATCATCAATACATATCAAGTATCAACAAAGCAAACCACCTTGTGCAACCTAATAATCACTTTGCAACACCCAGGTAACCACCCAGAGGGTGAAACGTCTTAAAGAAGTCCAGTTGTCTTTGACACCCTAGTTATCGCAATAAAACCCACCAACCACTCATCCAAAGGACTTCTTCAGTTCTTCTTCAGAACTGAAGAAGTGGATGAGGGACGAAACGTCTTCCAGTATCTTCAACCAAGTCCAGTTGCCCTTGATTTTAACCTTTGTTGGATAACTATGACCTGGATGACTGAGAATCTTCATAGACTACCACCAACTTAGAAACACCCAAGAACACAACTTCCTTAATACACATTTTTACCAAAGTAAACAACTTTGCCTTACTAAATGTTATTAAATGTAGCCTGTTCTTACTGTAAATATTTGTTTTCCTGTCAGAGACACCTGGCCCAACGCCCCCACCGCTTGTTCCCATCAATCTCTTGCCAACAGATGAACGGAGCGTTGTTCTTAAAGGTAACTGTTTTCAAATATCAGTCTTGATCAGCTTGATCTGCAGTTTATGCTAGGGGATCATTTAGCTCCAGCAGAACATTTTGACGAGGTGACAATCTTAGCTGTAAAATGGAGCAGTGTTATGGCAGAGATGTGTGTTTTGTCAGATCACAATGAGTGTTGCATGTGTCTGATCTGTCCATCATGTCTGTGTTTGAAATCAACTCTCCACACAGGTGAGAGTCACACTGAGAAAGTTGAACTACTGAACCCCGTCAATCTAGCACTGGAGTGTACATGGACCGGTAACCAGAACAAACTACCAAACATAACTGCGTTCTGGACAAAAGATGGGGATGAAATTGAGGACAGCCATCTCACAGTGCAGTTGGAGAATGAGCAGTATAATCTCAAGACAGTGTAAGTACTTCATTATTCAATCCACGTGATTCAGAAAGTACACTTTTATCCTAATTAGTCTGTCTTGATAGGTAGATGCCCCTATCCACTGCGTGCTGTGTTGTCTGATATTTCAAATGAATGCATGTTTGTGTATTATCTGCATATAATATTACATTTTATACCAATTTCATATTTTTCTCCTTTACCACACCTTTATAAGTTGAGTTGGATGTCTGAAAACTTATCAGTCGGCACTGCCGGTCTGTAACTGCAATTGTAAAAAAAATCTTTATTTCTGGTAGTTAAATTTAGTTTAGAATTCCATCCATCCATCGTCAACCGCTTATCCCGCGTACAGGGTCGCTGGGTAGTTTAGAATTATTTTATTTAAATATATAAAGACTTTATATCATTTACTTGAAAGCTTAGCACATTTTAATGCATATTAGTCATGTCTTGATAAAAAGAATTGTGGATCCTATTATATACAGACGTTTACCCTAAATTTAACAATGTGTTTTGGTATAATATCTCTAATGTATTTTTGCTTTACAGGTTCAACATTGTTAGTGAAGAAAACCTTGGAAATTACTCATGCGTGTTTGGAAGTGAAGCAAAAATAGACTTTGTTTTGGCAGGTACAGATCACATCCTTTCATGAGATATATATATATACTGTAATATATATATATATATATATATATATATATATATATATATATATACACTGTAATATATATAGACATATATACTGTTATATATATATATATATATATATACATACACACACACACACACACACACACACACACACACACACACACACAGTGAGGAAAATAAGTATTTGAACACCCTGCTATTTTGCAGGGGGTCTGAAATTGTCATCATAGGTACATGTCCACTGTGAGAGACATAATCTAAAAAAGAAAATCCAGAAATCACAACGTATGATTTTTTTAACTATTTATTTGTATGATACAGCTGCAAATAAGTATTTGAACACCTGAGAAAATCAATGTTAATATTTGGTACAGTAGCCTTTGTTTGCAATTACAGAGGTCAAACGTTTCCTGTAGTTTTTCACCAGGTTTGCACACACTGCAGGAGGGATTTTGGCCCACTCCTCCACACAGATCTTCTCTAGATCAGTCAGGTTTCTGGGCTGTCGCTGAGAAAGACGGAGTTTGAGCTCCCTCCAAAGATTCTCTTTTTGGTTTAGGTCTGGAGACTGGCTAGGCCACGCCAGAACCTTGATATGCTTCTTACAGAGCCACTCCTTGGTTATCCTGGCTGTGTGCTTCGGGTCATTGTCATGTTGGAAGACCCGGCCTCGACCAATCTTCAATGCTCTAACTGAGGGAAGGAGATTGTTCCCCAAAATCTCGCAATACATGGCCCCGGTCATCCTCTCCTTAATACAGTGCAGTCGCCCTGTCCCATGTGCAGAAAAACACCCCCAAAGCATGATGCTACCACCCCCATGCTTCACAGTAGGGATGCTGTTCTTGGGATGGTACTCATCATTCTTCTTCCTCCAAACACGGTTAGTGGAATTATGACCAAA